AATATATAATTAATTGTATGAAATTTGTTTTTACTATGTATAAATCAGATACAAAATATACAAAAGGCATATTATATAAAATTTGCATAAAAATTGTATTTACGTGGTATGATATTTTAGTTGTATATAACTGGGTAGATAAAATTTGTAGATAAGTTGTATTTTAATAAAATATATACGCACACGCAAAACTTCAGCATTCTAGTAGCCGGACCTGAAGTTCAGCTCTAGAGCTGAAGTTTTTGTTTTGTAAATGTCGAACTTTAGCTCTAGAACTGAAGTTTTTGTTTGTAACTGGCAAACTTCAGCTCTAGAGCTGATGTTTTTGTTTTGTAACTGTCGAACTTCATCTCTAGAGCTGAAGTTTTTGTTTTGTAACTGTCGAACTTCATCTCTAGAGCTGAAGTTTTTGTTTGTAACTGGCGAACTTCAGCTTTTATTTTGTAACTGTCGAAGTTTTTGTTTATAACTGGCGAACTTCAGCTCTAGAGCTGAAGTTTTTGTTTTGTAACTGTCGAACTTCAGCTCTAGAGCTGAAGGTTTTGTTTGTAACTAGCGAGCTTCAGCTCTAAAACTGAAGTTTTTTCTGGAAAAGTCAGCTTTTTATGTTATCGTCCACTTTAAATGCAACAACCTCATTTCGTCTAACTCACACTCAACTTTGCTCAACCATCTTTATTGTTAAGCAACTGATATTCGAAAATACATTATATAGTTCTATTATAGATTCAGACAACACAGATTTTTCTTTTTCTGAACACAGAAAAATCTAATTCACATATACAAAGTTAGCTTTCTACTTGCTTCAATTATACTTTTGGCTATAGCAATAAGTTTCTCCACAAATTATGTTGGAAAAATTCCAAGTACTAGAGGCTCTTTCTAAAAATGAATATTAATTTCTTGAAAACGAAATCCTAGATAAAAACATTGTGTGAATACAGATTATATACATAGCCGTAACAGATTTCTTACAGAAAAAGGAGAAGGAGAAGTTTGAAAAAGAAGAGTCGGATATAACTTGAGAAGGAGAAGGAAGAGGAGAAAGAGGGCTAAAATTGTTTAAAAAGTGAGTACAAGTTTAAAGTTTTTTAAAAAATGGGTATAGGTTATATGAGAGCAACCAAATAGGACGCCCCGTGCAATTTTTAGAAGCCGGCCTTAGCTCAAGTTTAAAATGGGCTTATAATAGTCTAACCCAGCTTAACATAAATGGAGTGAAATTCAAAAATAGCCAGATTTACAACCGGTCTTTCAAAAATAGTTCAGTTTCAAAAGTAATTGAAATTTAGCCACTTTTCATGTAAAGATAAATCTGAGCGAAAATACTGTTCAAAACCCGGAAAATACACCAGTATATTATGCTGGAGTTCCAACATAAGTATACTTGAACTCCAGCATATTATACTGGAGTTCCAAGATAAGTATGCTGGAACTCCACCATAATATGATGGAGTTCCAGCATAAGTACACTAGAACTCCATCATAATATACTGGAGTTCCAGCAAGTATATTGGTCCAGCATAATATACCGGAGTTTTGAGCACTGGTGCTCCAGTCTCCAGTATATTATACTGGAGCCAACAAAGTATATCGGTCCAGCATAATATGTTGGAGTTCATACACAGGTGCACCGAACTCTAGTATATTATGCTGGACCGGTCTCTGCTGCAGCAAAATAGTGGCTATTTTTCATTGACTTGGTAAACGCTGGCTATTTTTGAATGACCAGTCCAAAAACTGGCTATACCGTGCTATTTTAACACATAAATGGGCTGTCGTCCAGCCCGTGGGCCAGACCTCTCTTACTTTTTTTCTTAATGAAAATCTACGTGGTATTATGCCCTATGGAAACGCCAGTTAACACAGAGAAAGTTATCCTCTATAGCCCCTTAAATTTTTTATAGCCCATATTTTTGTCCATTGACACAAAATGGTCCTCCGACCCAACCCGAAATGTATATTTTGTATATTTTTTGTATAGTGACAGTCTATTTTGTATATTTATTGTATAGTAACAGTACATTTTGTATATTTGTTTGTATAGTGACAATCTATTTAGTATATATTTTGTATAGTGACAGTCTATTGCACATAAATTGTATAGTGACAATCTATTTAGTATATTTTTGTATAGTGATAGACTATTTTGTATATATTTTGTATAGTGACAGTCTATTGTATATAAATTGTATAGTGACACTCTATTTTGTGTAATTCCCTTACACTTCCATGCTTGCCCGTTAGGGACCATTAAATCTCGTGAACACAAACTCCTGGCAAACATGGCAGAATTCATAAATGGATTGTCCATGGACATAATATTTATATTTTTTATTAAATAATTGATTTGCCAAATTAAATATATGTATATTTGCTTAATATTTCTACTAATTTTAGGATTTGTTTTACTCATCCATTTTCTAAACTTTAATTTCATGAACTTAGCCCAGAAACTCCACCTTTGTAATTTGGGGTGAAATTCAAAAATAGCCAGATTTATAAGTGGTAATTGAAAAATAGCCACAGTTTCAAGAGTAATCGAAATTTAGTCACTTTTCATACACTACTAGAAACCAGATAATTTCCGTCCAAGAATTTCCGACATATTTGGTCATCCTTGTATTTTGACTTTAATTTGGTCGCAAAAGTCAACAAAAATTGCTTGACAGCAAAAACATATTTGGTCATCCTTGTATATAATGTATAAAAATAATTATTTATTAAAAATTTACCAAATTTCCGACTGATTTCGATCGAAAATTGGTCAAATATTTGGTCATACTTGTATATAATGTATAAAAATAATTATTTATTAAAAATTTACCAAATTTCCGATCGATTTCGGTCGGAAATTTGTCAAATATTTTATCATACTTGTATATAATGTATAAAAATAATTATTTATTAAAAAATAATTATTCGTCAAATATTTTGTCAAATATTTGGTCATACTTGTATATAATGTACAAAAGAATTATTTATTCAAAACTTTCCAAATTTCTGACCGTATTCGATCGGAAATTGATCAAATATTTGGTCATACTTGTATATAATGTACAAAAAATATTGTTTATTAAATTTTTCCAAATTTCCAACCGAATTCGATCGAAAAAATAATTTTAAAATAATTAAAATATAAATTTAATAATATTTGTGTGTGTATGTGTGTGAAAATAATAAATAGCTTTNGTAGTGATATAACGATAAATCTGAACGAAAATACTGTTCAAAATCCAAAATATATTCCAGCATAATATACTAGTCCAACATAATATGCTGGAAGTTCATACACAGGTGCTCAAATCTCCAGTATATTCAGGGGCGAATCTACATATTGATTTTGGGTGCTGAAGCACCCATTATCTTTGACAAGATTTAGTAAAGTTGTATAGGTAATTATAAAAATATTTAGATAAATATTGATTGAGCACCCATAACTAAATTCTTTTTCCCTCTTCTTTCAAAGTTTTTATCAGTGAGCACCCACGACTTTAAAATCCTGGATTCGCCACTGAGTATATTATGCTGAAACTTTTCGTGTGCTGGATTTCCAGCATAATATGCTAGAAGTTCATACACAAGTGCACGAATCTCCAATATATTATGCTGGAACTTTCCGTGTTGCAGCAAAATAGTGGCTATTTTTCAATGACTTTGCAAACACTGGCTATTTTTGGTATAGCCAGTTTTCGGACTGGTCATTCAAAAATAGCCAGTGTTTACGAAGTCAATAAAAAATAGTCACTATTTTGCTGCAACAGAGACCGGTCCAGCATAATATACTGGAGTTCGGTGCACCTGTGTATGAACTCCAGCATATTATGCTGGATCGGTATACTTTGCTGACTCCAGTATAATATACTGGGGACTGGAGCACCGGTGCTCCAAACTCCAGTATATTATACTGGACAATTATACTTGCTGGAACTCCAGTATATTATGCTGGAGTTCTAGTGTACTTATGCTGGAACTCCAGTATAATATGTTGGAGTTCAAGCATACTTATGCTGGAACTCCAGTATAATATACTGGCGTATTTTCCGGGTTTTGAACAGTGTTTTCGCTTAGATTTATCTTTATATGAAAAGTAGCTAAATTTCAATTACTTTTAAAATTGGACTATTTTTGAACGACCAATTGTAAATCTGGCTATTTTTGAATTTCTCCCAACTACATGAGGTCGAGGTTGACTTGTATTGGGCTAAAAGGCTACCATTTTAATGGGCTAGACAAATACCAGCTCAACCCAATCAAATTAGCAGGCTTGGTTGGATCGATTTTACCGACGAAGTTCATTTTGACGGCTCTAGTTTTAAGGTAATGCAATATGGTAATCACCAAAAAATTAGCTGGGCTAGCCACTTTTTAGATCGTAACAAATATATTAGCAAAGTAGCCACTGGTCTGACTATATTAACGTTTGTCCCTAACTAACGCATGGAACAACTCCTGCAATCGGTGTTGGAATCTGGAAACATAATAGAAAAGAGAAAATTAAATCGAAAAAGGAACACATTCTAGTTTTCACAAAAACACCAGTTTGATACAGTTAGATTTTAGCCTTTTTTCTTTTGACATCTCTAGCCCCTCCTACATTTTCATCTTCCATATTTCTTAATTACATTTTCTATGCCCCCCTCTACATTTACATAGCTTTCTCCCCACTCTTAGTGTGAACAAACATCCTGAGGATTTTCAACAACTATGATATACAATGTTAGATTAATCTTTGTGCTTTTAAACTGCAGTTTTTGTAACAATATTAAGCCACTTGTATGGTTGCTGGTTTAGGATTTCCTTCACCAGATTTAGCCTTGGGTTTAACTGCTCGCGACGATCTCAACGTTGATGGTGAACTAGATTTTGGAGAGGAAGTCGACTTCGGCTTCCTCCGTTTGTGTTTCCTGGGAGGACTAGGAACATCTGAAGTTGTCATGTCCTTGTAAATGTTAGCTGNATATATATATATATATATATTAATTACAAGGAATGTGAATAGCAAATTGAACTCTGATCAACTTTTGATGAATCCTCACAATAAAGAAAAAGTTGGGACGTATTCACATACATATGCGTTTCTTACCAATCTATTTAATGCTATATTAAGAAGTAATAACCTGCATGATGATTGGAGAATATTATTGGACTGCGACATGCTTATAGTGTTTTGAAGAAATCTTTTGGTTGTTAATCTCAACAAAAATAACGTTGGTGAATTTTTCTTATCTGTCTAAATCCTGGTAGGCAGAGTTACTTGGTACCTATATTAATAGAAGATACCATGTACTCGCCGATAATTGAGATGCACACAAACTGACCAGGATACCATCGGTATAAAAGAAAGACATCATTGGTTGTTAATTGTTGGCTTATTCAGTACATTTTTCTGGTGCGCAAAGGGGAAAAAGAGTTAAAAGTAAAATTAACCTTGAGATGACCAAGCAGAACCAGAACTACCAACAGAAGTTGCTGCAAATTCCGGCCCTGCCTTGAATGCTTTCATCTTTGATTCCACACAAAATAAAACCAAAAAAAAAAAAAAAAACAGAAATGTCAGGTATGACATGTATTTGTATAATAAAGCAATTCAAGTTTAAGGGTTACAAAATGAAAAAGTATATCACCTAACTATAGTTAAATGGTAACGCCGATATACAAGACATATATCTTGCATTTGGTATAAATATCAGGTGCGAGTAAATTTTTTCGTGACGTAAATATGTGAATATAAGAATGATGGAAAGATAAACATACCCAAGTGGGTGTATTTCCAGAGGGACCTTCCCAACCAATATGTGCCACATGTTTAACATCAGTTGGACATCCTATCTCCAACTCCCTCTCCTTAACAACTGTAAATTACAAAAACATTTTTGCCTTAGCCTCAAAATTAACCCAAAAAACACACAAATTCCATTGAAGGGAAATGGCATTACCAAAAATACTGGTGATATATTTGTAAATCCCCTTCACTTTGGTTGCCATGGTATAGATTATAAAGCCCCAAAAATCCAAGTGTATTCTGCTTAGAGATGAAACAGAACACAAGCAAAAGGACCACGCCAATAGGAAGAACTGATTCCTTTGCCTAATCAAAAGACAAACACATTAAACAAAAAGTTAAATTAGAAAAAAAATTACACTTTTCATATGTAGATAAAAAAGGCACATTGCAAAAGGCAAATGGATCTAAATTCCGAAATGGTTCAATTGAATATCCATCACCGAAAATACACAGTAAAGAAAGGGTACAACAATTCGAGGTATGATATTCTTGTCCGGTGCACAAAGCATCCCGCATTCACGCGAGGTCTAGGGAATGGACGCACCCCAATCTGGTGTGATGTAGGCAGTCTACTCTAATGCAAGCATTAGTGGCTGATTCCACGGTAGGTCACACAGAGACAATTTTACCATTGCTCCAAGGCTCTCCTTCTAGGCAGAGGCAGACCTACGCTATACCGAGAGGGGTCACCGGCACCCATAAAATTCGGCGAAAATTTCAGGTATACTTGTATGTCTTTAGAAAATAGTGATATATTAATAATGGACACTCTATAGACAAAACAATTTTGGTTGAATCTAAAAGTACACCCCCAACCTTCAAATCCTAGGTCCGCCTGTGCTTCTAGGTACGACATTTTTGGGTTTTTTTAAATCCCCTTATTAGAATTCCAACGTTCTTGATTGACAAAAGGAAAAAGAAGACAAAGGAATGTAATGACACAATACAATACCGTTTTAGGTAAACGCTTAAGCCATGCGGAAAGAAAGGAGATGAAAAAGGGAAGCTTATTTTATCTCCTCTTAACTGCATTCCCCATATATTCTTTCAAATATTATTGATATTATATGCATGCAACAAGCATGCATATATGAAGAACAAATTAAAGAAAAGGAAATTAAAAAGCCAGAAAGTTGGTGGATCCAAAATGAAGGAGAAAAGATATGATATTAGGGCAAAAATTGCCCAGAGGATCGAGTTGAAAAGAAACCTTTGTTTTTTTCCTCTCCTTTTCTCTATTAATTGTTTGAATGGGGCAAATTTTTTGTTTGGATAATCTAAAGATAGAGAGAGAGGGAGAAGGAAGAAAGAGGGATGAATAATTAGAGAAAGAGAAAATTAAGAATTAGAAGTAGAGGTGGACAACTACCTAAATTGTCCCAAAGGAAAGGTTGAGAGGTTGGCTTACAAATAACATGGACGGAGAGAGAAACACAAGAAACCATGTATTATTATTTATTTAATTTAAAATGGTGGTGTTCAAACGAATTTGGTCGCACCTCAATGATTAAACCACATATTTTTAGAGTATTTTTTATTAGAATAAGTGTCGAGTGATTTTATTCATCAACGCTCATATAGATGAAAGAAATTAGGAAAAATGACACCTGTATAGTCGCTGTAAAAATAATAGCCGAAAAAAATATATAAAATTTGTATATTTTTTGTATATATATATATATACATATTCTATATGTCATATACAAAAATTATACAAATTTTATATACTTTTTCGGCAACTAGATGTAAATAGTTTCTGGCACGGGCTAAAAGTGATAATACTCCAGGAAATTATCTACTAGCATTTATCTTTTTGGTAATAACTGTGAATATTACCATTAACAATAAAAAAATTTACACCTAGAAAGCACCTAGTATCTGCTACGCCTCATGAGATTTCTGCTAATTACATATCCGAGTAAACAAATATTGACATCTATAAGCTCTACCTGTATTCCTCATGCTATCTAGTCTAATCTTAACTTCTTGCTGTATTTTTGCTATGGTTTAGTAGCATGTTTTTTTTGGTTTTCTATCCGGTATTCGGTACCCGCATTGGAGCTCGACTATATCCGGATTCGCGCCGAGTAAGGCCCCATTCGGGGGATAGCGCTCCCTATCAAAGATTTTTCCATACCCAAGGCTCGAACTTGAGACCTCTGGTTAAGGAAGGAACAGCCACATCCACTGCACCACATCACTTGATGGTTAGTAGCATGTTGTTACTAAAGCAATCCTAATTTTTCAAGATTTTTACCCAGCTCATTGATTATTATGCTACTACAAAAAATAAAGTATCAGAAAAACCCATTTGCATATTATTTTCTAAAGACGTTCAGGAAAACAATAACTGAGGTTCTCTAAGGAAAAAAATGAAAATAAAAAGAAACAAAAGAATAATTAGGGAAATAAAATAAGTGGAATTATTTGCAAGTTATTATGAACGAGTAAGTCGCGGAATCCTTTCTGTACTTTTCTCTTTCTTACTTCCGTGAGAAGGCATGACACTTTAGGTGAATCCAATGTCTAAAAAATACGATAGAGATGCTAAGTATATAAATAAAAAGATTAGACTTTAATGTTTTAAAGTTGTGTGGGGCTAGGCGAAAAGTGAACAATATCGCTAGTGAATTAGGCCGTTACAAAACATCTTTAGTTAAATGACCTTTTAGTGAATAAATGTAAAATGTAAATAAATAAATTATTAGGCTAAGTCAATTCAAAGACAGTAATATTATCCGTCCGCTTTAGGACAAGTTTTGCACCGTTTTTATACACATTTAATTTTAAAAAAGTACATATAAACCTTAAGTGCGACTTTTTTTTTCTTATCAATTTTCAATACGTGGACCTGTTGGTCTCGGAGATTGATACATTTAAGCAACTTTTGTTTTGACCTTTAAGCATATGAATAATTTAATTATAACGATTGTCAACCTCAGAAATTGTTTCCCTTTCATTTCTAGAACAATTGCATCATTATACTTCAATGATTAGGAGATATTGAGAAAAAGTCTACTCTACTCCCAGCGGTTGCAGGGGACGATGTAGCATAAGAGTACCGGGTTAATTTGAACTTGGTATTTCTGATGCAGTCATGCTACCACCTGAGCTTGTCCCAAATTCCTGTTACACACCTGTAGACTACGTGAATAATTTTATACATTTAACCTTTCAAAAATGTGTCTATGATACACCACTTTTGTATTTGACCACTTCTTTTAAATAGGTATATGTCACGGATCAATTAAATCATGACACGTGTCATGAAGTTAAAAGAAAAAAGAAAAAGAAATTCATCTTCTTCCTCAATGAAAACCATCCACCATGGCTACTACAACCTTTATCTCAGTTTCAAGATCAGAGAACATGAATAAAAATCAACAACCAAAGTTTTCAACATCAACCTTAGATTTCTTCAAGTTTAACCCAACTCAAAAATTCACAGTACTCTTCTTCGGCCTTCTTAGACAAATTTCGATCCACTGCTCAGTTCATCTCTAAATGAGTTTCAATTGAAATGGAGCTTTTAATATATAACTAATTCAATCCCGAAACACCAATTTCAACAAACAACAACATTTCAAATAATCAATTTCTAGGTCTTGCGCAATTTGTAGAAACAACGCGAATCAGAACGGGTGAAAACAAAAAATCTTTAGATGATTTTATGTTGGAAAAACAAAAAACCCCACCAAAAAAGAAGCAAAGGCCAAAGATAGGTGCGGAAGAAGGGTAAGGGGTGATGATGTTCATCTCATTGAAGAAGTATTAGGCATGTGCCTAATAAGAGTTTTCTTTGGTTTGGTAGCCAACCTTGTTGACTTGGTTTGGTTGGTAGCCAACCTTGTTGAATTAGTTTGGTTTGGTAGCCAACCTTGTTGAATTTCTTTGGTTTGGTAGCCAACTTTGTTGAATTGTGAAAAGTGTGTGTAAATTGTCAAATATTGTAGGCTTTAGAGGGTGAAGCTTTGGCTATAAAAGGAGAGCTTCAACTCTCATTTCT